ACAACAAGTCAGTGACTCCATGCTCTCTGCTGGGTTTAGTTAGGTAGAAAACATTTAAAGGTGTAATATGTAAGACTTACATCATCCTGTAGTCAAATTTGGGTACTGTGGTCAATTTTTCTAAACAAAAATAACATTCTCACTGCCGTTCAGTGAATTTTATGACTGTTGCCAGTTACGAATCAGCACTAGAAGATTCTAGATGACGAGCAAAGACGAGTCATTCACAGTAAGTTGATAAGTAGATAAATACATTCTTGATAGATGGTTCTGGCATTTCGGTGTTTTAGGGTAGGGAGCACTTATTCCACTTATCGCAGTAATAATGCTGATAATTGAAAAATTAGCATTATATATTTTTAGATGCCAATTATTTGCTTCTAATTCACAGTTAGCATTGTTAGCTCAATGTTAGCTTCTAATCTGCTTTACCAAATATTAGCGTAAAACCAAAAGATGCCGTGGCTTCTTAAGGGTACAAGAAAAAACTTCTGGGTCGCTCCTGTTTACCAGCTTCGGTTTTTTAAACAACTCTGGATATTTTTTCTGGCCAGTGTCAAATTACAAAACTGCAGCATTAGCTCAGAACAGACTCAGCAACCTCATCGGATCAGTGGTTGTAAACAAAGACGACATCCGTCTTTAGTTATTTAGTTATTTTGAAAGGAGTTAAACTGGCCTCAATTTTTGAGCCGCATTGTGGGGGCTTGGTAAAATCACAGAAAAAAGAGAGCTGCTCAGGTCGAGCAGGCTGCTTCATGCGCGTTCACGCTCAGGCATAGCCCTCCAAACCATTCTTAAATGGTACAGATACAAGTGATGTCACTGGCGCGTTAGCTTGCCAAGTTAGACGTCAGACTTTCGCGCAGAAGACCCGGGTTTGATTCTGGATGTGAACATAGTTTATTTAGATTTTCTTTTTTACATTAATGGTATATTTTTTTACAGTAAGATGCCCAAATTTTTATTTGAGACTCGCCGAATGGCATTGAATTCACAGATAAAAATGATGTTGGTTCAACTTTCATTTTGGAACAATTTTTCAAGCAAGGGAAGGGAATGATCTGAGCATGCAGGAGGACTGACCCATCATAAACCTTTGTTTGCTGTGCTGAAGAGAAAGGTACAGAACCTAATTATTTAATTAATTAGCTGCGCGTTCTCCTGTCCTCTGTCCTCCGGGCCACACACACGGAGCTGACTGTCTCAGCTGTTATTTTCGTTAAGGAGTGTGCACGTACAGCATGTGCGCCTCGTGCACGAGCCTACTATTGAAGCTGCCGTTACGCTTTTGGCCTGAGGGGGCAATCGCGAGCATAAAAATTCAAAACTCCGTAAAGTCCCTTTAAAATGATTAATGAAGGTTGGTTATTTTCACAGTAATATGTTTAAATCAATGCAACAACCTGAACACAGAAATCAAACAAGTTGTTTTTCATTAGTTTTCCCAATTGGAAAAATCACATTATAGATTAGTACAAAAAATTAACTTGATGTGAATCTGACTGCCTGATATCTAATAAGTGGAAAATGGGGACGAAGGAACAGCTCTGCTGCTAAAGAGGTGAAAGTGAATCTTTTTTGTCACTTTTAATGTCATAATGTGTTCTTTATTTACAGTAAAACAGAATTAATGTTATTTGGTGTAACAGCAACATCCATGAATAAATATACGTAGAGGTGAAGCACTGAAACACAACCTGTTATTCTACCTGAGTTCAGATATTAATCGACTGTACTGCAAAAAAGAACCTCATAGAGCCCTCAGATCTTTGTCAACACAAAGAAGTGCAAACTTCCTCAGATACAATAAAATCAAACAGGTTGAGAAAATCTGCTCTGATGTCGTTTCCATGGATGCATTAAAACCTGCTACAGGTGCTGCACTATTTTTGTCTGATAGTTTCAGGATATTAAAGGCAGTGAAAAACACAGCCATGTCTTCCCACTGTGGCACCTTCAGAATGTATTAGTCTGTATTCTAATTACTGATTTGTACTCAAAGACCTCCCCACATGAAGTGAGCTAATGTATTCTGTTAGACGAGCAGCCCTCTCACACTGGAGGTTTCCGTCAAGCTTCTCATTCCACAGCCCAACTTTTCTGTCAGAAATTTAAGATCGCACCGAGCCAAAGCATTAATATGCAAAACCTTTAGATACAGTTTATTTTAATGAATGTTCTTCCACAGAAGAGACTTTTCCACCAAAATCTGAAGGTAACGCAGACTGAAACAGACCTTGAGCAAGGCAAAGCTCCAGGGAGCCTCTTTCCCTGAAGCAACCAGCACCAAACTAATTACCCTATGAAATCTCACTGAAGACAAAAGAAGACCACATATTTCTCACACACACACACACACACACACACACACACACACACACACACACACACACACATATATATTTAACTCACACCACAGATTTTCAGTAATATTCACGTCTGGGGAGGCGATGGCCATTCCAGAACATTCTACTTGTCCCTCTGCATAAATGCCTTAGTAGATGTTGAGCAGTGTTTAGCTGTTTCACTGATTCCTGGACATTGGTCTCCAGAATCTGCTGATATTGAGTGGAATCCATGCGTCCTTCAACTTTAACAGGATTCCCAGTCCCTGCACTGGCCACGCTGCCCACACCATGATGTAACCACCGCCATGTTTTACTGTAGGTAGCTGGTGTTTTTCTTGGAATGATTGTTAAGTCCAAATAACTTTGTTTTAGTTTCATCAGTCCACAGCACCTTATTCCAGAATTAAGCTGGCGTGTGTAAAGTGCACTGAATAATTGAATGATGCACATTGACTCCATCTGCGGCAAGATGATGTTGTAGGTCTCTGGTCTGTGGGTTGACTCTGACTGTTCTCACCAATCTTCGTTTCTGTTTATCTGAGATTTTTCTTGCTCTGCCACTTAGAGCCTTAACTTGAACTGTACCTGTGGTCTTCCATTTCCTCAATGTTACGGCCGCAGCCGTTTTGAAGCCCAGAGGTGTGCTCCGCGCCGTTCCCTGTGCAGCAGCGCAGCACCACGGACAGCTACGCTCTGGGATGTTGTCCTTACTCCAGCACCATGGAGAGCGCCGGAGCGGCAGGCACAAGCAGCTGGGACTTTTTATCTCATCAGCCGGCCCTTCAAAAGCGGCCAGGTGGAGCTCATCAGGGGAGAGAAATGTTTGGAGTTGCAGAGGCAACGTTTGTTCTCTCCCCGTTGGCAGTTAACAGGTTGTTGTTGGCTTTTTGTAAAGAAGCAGCTTTAGAACCTTTTGTGTTTTGGGATAGTTGCAGTTAAGCGGTAATTTTGGTTTTGGTGTGTCTGCTAGACCATCTTGTGGTTTAAATTACCAGGTGGGGATTATTCCCCTTTTGAAGTCTCAGTTTCCTGAGCTATTTTTGTTGTTTGGGTAACCTAAGTTAATTCAGCATTTGGTTTTGTCTGTTAGACAAACCTTGGTTAATTTAAGGGTGGGATTTTCCCCTTTTGCGTTTCATTCCCTTTTTAAATAAAGGAGATTAATTTTAAGAGTGGTTGGTCCTCTGGACATTTTCAGTTATTCGTTTAAACTTAGTTTGGTAAGGGTTTTTGGCCCTTCTTTTGGTACTTTCTTTTTGTAATAAAATCCTTAAAAGGAAGCTTTGAGTTTGGTCTTGCTTGGACAAGAGGTGCCTTTTTCTCCCCAACGAGGGTCACTTTTGTTAGACTGGTCCATCTTATGTTTATTCCCCTCACCTTCCTAGCTGAGCCCATAGAGGGGTGTAACATAAATGGGGGCTCGTCCGGGATATCAACCATTCCATGAAGGACTTTTAATGGCATGTGCTTTTTGCAAACAGGTTTTATTCATAGGATTTTAAGATGTGTGGTCAGCTGTGTCCTCTCAGGTATTGTAAGTATGTCCTTTTTGTTATATTCTGTTGTGCTTGTTATATTTTAAAGTGAACAGAGTGAATTCCCTATAGGCTATTGGAGCGCACCCTCTTTAGGATGCGTTCTGGTTTTTGTTTTTCTAGAGTTGGGGTTATGGAGGTTAGTGTTGGTGATTCAGTTCATCATCTCGGGAGCACCCCAGGAAGGGCTGTGGCTAACCCCCTCCCTTTGTTGGTTTTGAATGTGCCTCGGCACATGTGCTTAATCGGCCCATCTCTACGCCCCATGAAGACTAGGATGGAGATCAGCTAGACTCCTTCAATTAGCTAGAGGGAATTCTTGTTGGAAAAAAAAAAACCTGGGAGTGTTTGTGATAAAAGCCATGGAGGACAAAGGTGAAAGAAAAAAAAATTGTGGTTGAACGTGTTTTAATTTTTTTTCTTTCTTTTAAGGGAGGAAGTGTTACGGCTATTGCCGTTTGCCTCAGAAATCTGACACTGCAGAGGACAATCAGTGCTTCCTCCACCTCCTACCTGCACAGCTGCACTCACTTGGGCTGATCACCTCCTGAGCAGCATAAAAGGGAGAGCTGCCAGGAGGAAGGGAGAGACTGGATCTGTGCCAGTTCTCTCATGTGCTCCATTTGTTTGTGTTTTAATGGCTTTTAAATGGGTTTTAGTTCTTTAAGCTTAGTGAAGCTTAAGAGCTTTTAGAGGTTTTTAACAGACGAGGGACCAGAGTGCTGGTTACCTCTTGGCTCCCAAACTTGTGTTTAAGTCAGTGGACTTTGTTTTGTGAATGTTTGGGAGCATTTGATGTCTGTTTTAAACGTGAACTCTTGGCCATTTTAACAATGTGTTTAAGTACTTTTAGATTTGGAGCTTTTTGTCATTTTAAAATCCTTGTAATAAATCTGTGTTTACAATTTCCACAACTGAAGCACATGCCTCTGTGTTACTTCCCGTCCTTCTCCATATCCACCAATAGAGGACGTAACACAATGGGGGCTCGTCCGGGATTTTACACTGATTTATAGCTGTTTTATTACACGTTTATAGCCTGTTTTAGATCAGTTAAGCCCGTGCCAAACGTTTGGACTAGTTTTAACATTTGCTCTTTGTTGGTTTTGCGAAGACACAAAACCCACGCTGTTTTGTGTTGTGTCATTTTGTTTTGTGCTTAAACATGGCTCAGTTTTGTGTGGAGACATTTATGGAGGCTCCATCCCGTGAGGTGCTGGAGCGTTGCCGCAAGGCTGACCTTCTGCAGATAGCTGTCAACCTTGCTCTTGACATCCCAAACCCTGTGCTGAAAAAAGACTTGAAATTGCTCATTGTGGAGCATTTGGAGGACATGGGGATTTTAAAGACTGAGAATGAGTCTGGTGCAAAGACGGAACCAGAAGGATCTCCTGCAGATCCTGATGAATGTGACGATCCTGAAGTCCCTGCTGCTGCGGAGGATCATGAGGGTGAGACGATGGAGACAGGAAAAACTCCTCTAACCGTACGAAAGTCTGTTCCGACCTCCCCAGGTTCGCCGACGGAAGGATCTCGACACGCACGACTACAGGTGCGGCTGGCACGTCTGGACATGGAAAGAGAGGAGAGAGCCCAGGCAAAAAGACTCCAGATGGAACTGGAGGTTCGGAGGATGGAGATTGAAGCTGACACAGCTGTGAGAATAAGGAAATTGGAACTGGAAGCCCAGCTTTCCAACCCTGGACTTCATATCACGCCCACCAAAGCTCCGCAACCCGCCACAACCCCGGCCTTTGACATTAGTAAGTGCATTTCCTTAATGCCTACATTTAGAGAGACCGAGGTTGACAGCTATTTTGTAGCTTTTGAAAGAATTGCGGAGACGTTGCAGTGGCCGCGCGGGGTGTGGTCTCTGCTGCTCCAGTGCAAGCTGAGCGGCAGAGCTTTAGAAGTTCTGTCTGCGCTCCCTGTCACAGATAGTCTGGACTATGACCGAGTGAAAGCTGTTATACTTCAAGCGTATGAGTTAATCCCAGAAGCTTATCGTCAAAAATTCAGACAAGCTAAGAAAAGTGCTGGACAAACACATGTGGAATTTGCCCGTGAAATAAGCATGCTGTTTGATAAATGGTGTTCGTCCACAAAAATTAAAACTTTGAGTAACCTCCGAGAGCTTATCCTTTTGGAGGATTTTAAACGTAAGCTGCCTGAGAGACTGGTAACCTACTTAAACGAACAAAAAGTCAGCACTTTATCAGCTGCGTCCCTTTTAGCGGACGAATTCACACTCACTCACAGAGAGATTGTGAGGAGAGATGAGAGAAAAGACGTTCAGCCCGTTTTGATGAAGAAATCCATAAAAAGAAGCTCTCAAAACGGAAATCCTGAAACCCGTACCTGTTACTATTGTCACAGAACGGGACACGTTCTTAAGGATTGTTTTATGTTGCAGAAAAAGAACGGGAAGCCCACTGCAGCTCCTAAGGAAGTTGCATTCCTTAAAAAGTCGCCTGTGGTTAACCCCTTGTGCGCCGCCGGGGAGCCTGATGCTTGTTTTGCACCCTTTATTCTTTCGGGGGAGATCTCGTTGACTCCTGGTGATGCAGACAAGCAAAACGTTCGCATTTTGAGAGACACAGGTGCGTCTCAAACGTTAATACTGAGCAGCGCACTCCCATTTTCAGCCAGTAGTTCACGCGGGTACGCTGTTTTGTTACAGGGAATTGAAATGAAATCCCTGCCTGCCCAGGTGCACCGCGTTCACCTGGAATGCCAGCTCGTTAGCGGCTGCTTTGATGTTGCCATTTGTGACCATTTACCGGTAAACGGGGTTGATGTGTTGTTGGGGAATGATGTTGCTGGAGGTAAAGTGCTACCTCTTCTAGAAGTAGTTCCTCAACCTCAAGCCGAACATGTAAATTGTGCTGCTGATTCACATTTTTACCCAGCTTGTGCTGTCACCCGTTCGCAAACGCAGAATAATGTGGACATCCAGTTAAGTGACTCAGTGCTGATGAGACTCCTCAATGATGACTCCGAACAGACAGCCCATGATGGACTTGGATTTGTTCCGTCATCAGACGCAGAAGAGCAGAGAGAAAAGGCTGATGCTGATCCTCAGCAAGGAGAACCTTTTCCACTTACGGCAGAAACCCTTTCTGCTGCACAGAAGAGTGATATTACTCTGAAACCTTATTTTTAACAGGTGACCACTTCAGATAAAACAGACAAAACTACAACACATTATTTATTAGATAATGATGTGCTGGTGCGTTGTTGGCCTCAGCCCGCGGCTGAGGGCATGGAATGAGGGTTGGTGAAACAAATAATTGTTCCATCCTCTTACAGAGAACATGTGGTCTCCTTGGCACACAAGAGTGACTGGTCTGGCCATTTGGGTGTCAACAAAACTTATAAACTGTTGTTGCAGCATTTCTTTTGGCCAGGGATGAAGAAAGAGGTGTCTCTCTTCTGTCGGCGTTGTCATGTCTGTCAGATGACAGGAAAGCCGAACCAGCCCATTCCTCCTGCCCCGTTACAGCCCATTCCTGTAGTGAGTACGCCTTTTGACCATGTCATCTTAGACTGTGTGGGAACTTTACCTCCTTCTAGAACAGGAAAGCGATTTTTGTTAACCCTTATGTGTTCAGCTACAAGGTTTCCGGAGGCCATACCGCTGAACTCCATCACCACCAGGTCTATAATCAGAGCTCTAACCCATTTCTTCTCCATCTTTGGGTTACCAAAGGTAATACAGACCGACCAAGGGACAAACTTCAAATCTAAACTGTTCAAACAGGTAACAAAAACCTTAGGAATCACACATGTCATGTCATCCGCGTATCATCCTCAGAGTCAAGGCGCTTTGGAAAGATGGCACCAAACTTTAAAGGCAATGCTGACAAAGTATTGCTTAAGTAAAAGCAAAACGTGGGAAGAAGGATTGCCTTTTGTGTTGTTTGCTGCTCGTGAGGCTGTGCAGGATTCTCTTGGTTTTAGTCCTGCCCAGCTTGTGTTTGGACACACTCCTCGTGGTCCCCTGAAAGCTCTAAAAGAGAGATTTCTTTTTTCTGATCCGCCTGACAGAAAAGTGCGGGAGTATGTCCAACTCTTCCAGAAAAGATTAAAGGAAGCAAACTCTATTGCTAAAACTCACTTGGACAAAGCTAAACTGAAGATGAAGGTTCAGTATGATAAGACGGCAACCAGACGTAACTTTGCAGTTGGAGACAAGGTACTGGTTCTAACTCCTTTGTCCAATTCGGCTCTCAGCACCAAATTTGAGGGACCATTTGAGATCCTGAGTAAGCTCGGGGACACAAATTATGTGCTACACACACCTGCCAGGAGACAGAAAAGCAGGGTTTGTCATGTTAACATGTTGAAGCGCTATGAGGATGGCTCCCCTCTGTCTAAACCTGTAACAACTTGTGTTGTAGTACCAGATGCTGCTAACAAACCTATGGTACCACAGGAAGCTGGTGAAGTCGGAGAAGACTTCCCCTCTAGTTGTAGTCCTCGGTTAAATAACTCCGAGGCACTTAAGGAACTGGAAGGACAGATAACACATTTGTCACCTGAAATGGCTGGAGACTTGGTGAAGTTAATTCACTCTAGGAAGAGTCTGTTTGTTGATGTGCCCACTCAGACCACTGTGTTAGCACATCATGTTGAGGAGCCCCTGGAGTTCACCCTGTCTGGTGGAGAGGAAACCAGATGGAACCGCTCGGTTTATAACCGATTACAGGAAGTTAAATGCGGTTACCATCTCAGACTCATATCCTCTACCCCGTATAGATGATTGCGTTGACAGTGTGGGACCTTCCAAGTTTGTGACTAAGTTGGACCTGTTAAAGGGATATTGGCAGGTACCTTTAACAGAAGAAGCTTCTCTTATGTCAGCTTTTGTTACCCCAGATGCCTTTTTACAGTACACTGTGTTACCCTTTGGCATGAAAAATGCACCTGCCACCTTCCAAAGGTTAATTAACACTGTTACTTCTGGCCTCTCACATTGTAGTGCTTACCTCGACGATATTGTTGTTTATACAGACACCTGGGAAGAACACCTCAACACTCTCACTCAGTTATTTGATCGTCTGGTGCAGGCCAACCTGACCCTGAACTTGGCCAAATGTGACTTTGTTAAGGCTACCGTCACTTACTTAGGTAAAGAAGTTGGGCAGGGGAAAGTAAAGGTCCTGCATGAAAAGGTGAAGGCTATGATGTCGTTTCCTCCTCCCTCTACTCGCCGAGAACTGAGACGGTTCCTGGGCATGGTTGGATACTATAGGGGGTTTTGTCGAAACTTTTCTGCCGTTGTTCTTCCTCTCACAGATCAGCTAAGTCCCAAAAGGAAGTTTGAATGGACTTCGGAGTGCCAAGCCTCTTTTGAGGCTGCCAAGCTGCTGCTGTGCTCTGCTCCTGTCCTGGCTGCACCCGATCTGACCAGGCCGTTCAAGCTGGAAGTTGATGCCAGCGCTATAGCCGCTGGAAGTGTGCTGATCCAGGAAGATTCAGCTGGTATTGCTCATCCGGTCTGTTATTTTTCTAAGAAGTTCAACCGACACCAACTGCACTATTCCACCATCGAAAAGGAAACGTTGGCTCTACTCCTTTCATTGCAGCATTTCCACGTTTACGTGGGTTCCAGTTGTTCTCCTACAAAAGTGTATACAGACCATAACCCTTTGACTTTCCTCAGTAGGATGTATAACCAGAACCAGCGGCTCATGCAGAGGGCGCTCATCCTACAGGAATATGCCATCGAGGTTCGACACAAGAAGGGGACTAACAACATCATTGCTGATGGGTTGTCCAGAAGTTTTGGTAACCTGTAGCGTCCAATAACCACTACATATCACAGATGCATACAATTTGTTTTAACTCCTTCCAGGGCCCCTTGTAGGCACAAGGGCTTCACCCTCTTTAGGGTGTTGCCGTTTGTTATTTTCTCTAGGGTTGCGGCAAGAGGCTAGTGTTGTCTGTGTCCTGCAGACATCTCGGGAGCACCCCAGGGTGATGGGGGACGGGCTTGCCAATGGGCCACCCCTCGTCGTCGCTGGTTTGTATGTGTACATCCACACATGTGCTTAATCTGCCCGCCTTAACCCGCATGAAGAGCAAGGGTTGAGTTAGAGAAGCTCCCCCATAGGTAGTTAGCGGGATGCCCTGGTTGTGTGTAAATGGAGGATACTGTTGAGTTTTAAATGTATCTTGCGTTTTAAGAAAAAAGATGGTGGTGTCTTAGGTATGGTTTTAGATTCTTTATCTCACCCCCTCCTTTTTTCTTTTAAGGGTGGGGATGTTACGGCCGCAGCCGTTTTGAAGCCCAGAGGTGTGCTCCGCGCCGTTCCCTGTGCAGCAGCGCAGCACCACGGACAGCTACGCTCTGGGATGTTGTCCTTACTCCAGCACCATGGAGAGCGCCGGAGCGGCAGGCACAAGCAGCTGGGACTTTTTATCTCATCAGCCGGCCCTTCAAAAGCGGCCAGCTGGAGCTCATCAGGGGAGAGAAATGTTTGGAGTTGCAGAGACAACGTTTGTTCTCTCCCCGTTGGCAGTTAACAGGTTGTTGTTGGCTTTTTGTAAAGAAGCAGCTTTAGAACCTTTTGTGTTTTGGGATAGTTGCAGTTAAGCGGTAATTTTGGTTTTGGTGTGTCTGCTAGACCATCTTGTGGTTTAAATTACCAGGTGGGGATTATTCCCCTTTTGAAGTCTCAGTTTCCTGAGCTATTTTTGTTGTTTGGGTAACCTAAGTTAATTCAGCATTTGGTTTTGTCTGTTAGACAAACCTTGGTTAATTTAAGGGTGGGATTTTCCCCTTTTGCGTTTCATTCCCTTTTTAAATAAAGGAGATTAATTTTAAGAGTGGTTGGTCCTCTGGACATTTTCAGTTATTCGTTTAAACTTAGTTTGGTAAGGGTTTTTGGCCCTTCTTTTGGTACTTTCTTTTTGTAATAAAATCCTTAAAAGGAAGCTTTGAGTTTGGTCTTGCTTGGACAAGAGGTGCCTTTTTCTCCCCAACGAGGGTCACTTTTGTTAGACTGGTCCATCTTATGTTTATTCCCCTCACCTTCCTAGCTGAGCCCATAGAGGGGTGTAACACTCAATATGTTCCTAACTGTGGAAACAGACAGCTGAAATCTCTGAGACAGCTTTCTGTATCCTTCCCTAAATCAGCGGCCCGTGGGCCATGTCCAGCCCGCGAGCCCTCTCTTTGTGGCCCCCAAAATAACCAACCAATTGTTGCACATTTTCTGTAAATTCTATAAACTTTAATTCACTTCTATATGATATGTCTATCTCTGTCTCCTATATGATATATTTTAACTGAAATCTTTTATCATAACAACCAATGATTAATCATGAAAATTAACAAGGCTGCCCAGACTTTTGCCTCACACTGTATACACCATTTTCAAATACTGAAATCCATTGAGTTACGATACTCAAGCCTAGCCAGACAATAAATCTTTTTTTCCATTCATTCTATTTTTGCAACCAATATTTACAAACAAACATATTTCCTGAATTTTTCATCAATATGTTAACAGCATGATTCAGAATTGTAATATATAATGTAATATTATTCATAGTCACAACCACGAGGACGGTCCTCTACAGATATACGGTTTAATTATGCTTGGTTGCTGTTGAGAATCGCATACCTGCAATGCATAGTTATCAGTGCACGAATTCATTTGCCTGTAGTGTTAGCAAAAAAGGATATATCATATATATCTTAATTTTACACACACATAAAATTGGAGGTAGAAATCACTCAGACAACATAAACCTACTTCTAACTGATTAGATCTTAAATATCACGTGAGACTGCATTATAGCTAGAAGTATTATCTTGCATCACAAGATGATCTCAGTTTGAAACTGTGCCCTAGAAGGCCATGGATGATTTATAGGCTGTTATTTTGTTCTAGAAAGTTAAAAGTTAAAAATATCTGCATTGTATATATGTGTGTGTGTGTGTGTGTGTGTGTGTGTGTGTGTGTGTGTATATATATACATACATCTAGATGTGTTTCTTAATCACGTAGCCCTATTTCTTGTGGAACATTGGAAAAAGGTGGATTTGTTTGGTATAGGGTTATTTTTTTTAAAGAGAAATCTGCAGAAAGCTGTCACAACACTCTTCATTTCAAAGATTAAGATTGTGCAACTGCTACTCGAAACTAGGGTTGTCACAGTGTGAAAATTTAACCTCACGGTTATTGTGACCAAAATTACCACGGTTTTCGGTATTATCGCGGTATTTTTTTTAAACATGCTACATTTTCACACAATTAAATAAACCCTGTATGTCAGGAAATATTGTCCTCAGTTGTGTCTAAATTTTGCCTAAAATTTGTTATTTTGTAATGATGTTGTTTATTTGTTTACATTGTTCCCCTTTAGTCTTTAAAATACCAATATTTGCCCATGACTTCTTATTTTTTGCCTGTTTGATGTCATCATTTTAAAAATATTAGACCAGATGATACTCAGTACTCAAGTAGCCTTCTAATCAGATACTTTTTTTACCCTTACTTGAGTAATAATCCCTATATCAGGAAAATATTGTCCTCGGTTTGTGTCCTTCCAGTGAGCTTTGCAGATGTGGGGAAATGTCATCGGGCAGTAATCATTGTTAAATTCCTAATTATTCTCGGAGAGAGACCAACTCTTATCTGCCCCTGGGAGTCCCGTAATGCATAGTGTCATTTCAATATGGGGGTGTCCGTGACACGGTTTATATGCAGGTAGCGGCGCTGTGGCTGCTTTATATAGCGACTCGTTGCATTCTCCCTCAACACAAATCCTCGGATCACGCATTTTAGCTAAAACGCTAACGTTAGCTTGCCTTGCGTTTACTGTAGAGTTGTGGGTAATGGTCACGCAGATGTGTCATGAGATTTGAAGCGTTGCTGACTTTCACAGACACTTTTTCTGCACGTGCTGCAAACAGGATAGCCGTCTTCTATCAACTGTCCCTCTGCATTCTTCAAATATCCAAAAAATGCCCATACTTCCCACTTTGTCTTCTTTGAGGGATAATAAATGTCCTGAGTGCTACCGTCTCCTCCTTTGGCCATTATCTCAGCTTTAGCTTCAAGAAAGTTTTGGTCGTAAACAACAAAGTGCGCATGTGCCGCCGGCAACTTCAGCAGATGATACGGTGGCTGGTAAGGGTCATCGCGCCTACACCGCAGCCACGGTAATCTACCGAGATAATATATGTTTTAAAAAACAAGACGGTTATTATTATTGTCAACTTTTTTACCGGGGTTTACCGCTACACCGGTTACCGTGACAACCCTACTTGAAACACTAAGATGTTTAATACACACTTGGCTGACCATTAATAAATAAATAACCAGAGGTTGTCTCAGCAAGTAATGAACGTATTATTTCAAATAGAATTTATCAAATTGAAGAAAAATGGCAAACAGAATGATATCCTGGTAGAGATTGTGCACTTTCCCATAGTTGACTGCAAATAATGATCAGCTAAACCAGAACGAAGCTAGTTCATCTGAATTAGAATCACAAAACAAAAACAGCTTGTTTACACTCATACAGCAGTGGAGCACCTGAGATTTATTCTCCAGTGGTTGTAAAGAGAATCCCCTTTCTTTGTTTTGTTTATTTACATTTATAAAAAAATAAATAAAGTACAACTGAAAACATCAATAGGAGGTTTTTGAAGAAGGCTGTCATCTCGGTGGATAAGCTTTATGTGGACAATAAGCTTTACAAGGAGCGAGGAGTGACTGACTGGCTGTATTTGCCCAACATCAGGTCAGACATTTA